TCCCTCCGTCCCTTTACCCCGGGCAATGTCCTGTCCTTCTCGCGGGTGTGAACTTGTTACCCACACCCCGCCTTCCCCTCTTTTTTCCTGCTTGAGACAGGGCCTTTATGTAGTCCGGGCTGGCTTTGAACTGTGGCGACCCTCCTGCTTCAGCCTCCCAAGCGCTGGGTCACTGGCGTGCACCACCGCCCTCTGCCCTCCCTAAACTTTCTGATGAACCGAGGAGTTTTGCCCCCAAGCTGGGAAGGGAGCATCCGGTCCTGTGCCTGGCATTTGGTCCCTGGGTGGGGTCCGCGGCGTGGCGAGGTCTCCCTGTCCCAGATTGCCTGTGCCTGTGCGGGCGGGGGCCGGCGCCGCCTCACACTCCGTCTCCCCGCAGTGGTGACCCTGTACCCCTACACCCGCCGGAAGGACAGTGAGCTCTCCTTCGCGGAGGGCACCGTCATCTGTGTCACGCGCCGCCTCTCGGACGGCTGGTGCGAGGGCGTCAGCGCAGAGGGCGCTGGGCTCTTCCCAGGGAACTACGTGGAGCCCAGCTGCTGACTGGGGGCTGAGGCAGGAGGGTCTCTGTCTGATCCCCTCCACTTTATTGTGGTGGGAGAGTAGGAGCCCCCAGGCCTGCGCAGAAAGGACAGAGCTGAAGCCCACGGAGCTGTGATTCCCATCCACGGAGGTCCTCACCTCGCAGGGCGCTGTACCCACCCTCATTGAGAACTCTGAATAAATCTCACGACCAGCCCACGACTCCCTGCAGGGCTGAGGGTGGTGTGGGGGGACTGCATAGATCCAAGGGCCCCACTGCTGACTGCTCCGGGCCGCTGGCACTGGTGTCCTCCCACCTCCTTCTCGGGCCCCTGGGGGCCCAGCAGCCCCTCTGCCCTCATCCACAAAGCGCAAGAGATCCATCACCGTCCCTGTCACCACCTTTATAGCTCAGACACAGCGGGTGGCGTGGGATCCCTGGCTCTGCTTGGAAACTGCATGGCTTCTGTTCCACGAGGGACGAGGGGGCGGCTTTGGTGAAGTCCAGGTGTCCTGCTGCATAGACTACGACACTGGCACGGTGGCGAGGTCCCCGGCAGTCCCTCGCGCTACCTCGTGTCACCACCAGGAGGTGACGGTGTCCACTATTTTCTCCGGTGGGTGCTGGGGTGGGCGGGGGAAGGCAAGAAGGCATAGCAAGCACATTGGCTGAAACAGGATTGAGGGGGTCTCGAGGTCCTCCTAAGAGGAGAGGTTTTGCGGCCCAAGGCACTGCCACTCAGGCTGGCCTTGAGCTCGCACAGATCCTCCTGCCTCAGCCTCCCGAGTGCCAGGTTGATGGGGCGAATGCCACTACGCCCGGCAGTTAAAGCTAGGAGAGGCGGGCGATGCCCTTTCTCAGCCCTTCGTCCCAGTCCGTGAGGCAGGGTGTTTTGGAAACGCCTTCCGGGGCCATGGGACGAGGGTGGGCGTCCGGGCTGGGTTAACTGCATAGACAGAGCCGGCTCTGGACAGGCTCCCTGCCCAGAGCGGGAAAGGGGCCCAAAGGGGGCTCGGGGCTCGGGCGCGCC